GAATTAAGACCACTAGGCCAGCAGAGCATGAAGTTGTGGGAACGAGAAGCAAATCTTTTGCTAGCAGGTCACTAGGGGTAATGGTGAGTGGTGCCACTCCCATTCCCAACCCTTGATTCCTGGATACACGAATCCTGGCTACGGGACAAACAGCATCATCCATTGGATGTGGATTTGGAGCAGGCACAACCTTCCAGAGAACCTTGCCCCAGCCCTGCAGGTATTGCCACCTAGCTGGTGCTGTAACTGTGGCTTCAGAAGGCCATTCCACTGTCCTATCAAGCCAGCTGCTTCAGGATGACGGGGAACATGGTAAGGCCAGCAAGTCCCATGAACATGGGCCCACTGCCAAACCTCTCTGGCTATGAAGTGAGTTCCTTAGTCAGAAGCAATGCTTTGTGGAGTAGCATGAAGGTGAGAATGAGGCATTCTGTAAGTGCACAGATGGCAGTTTGGGCAGAGGCACTGTGCTCAGGGAAGGCAAATCCATATTCAGAGTAAGTGTCTCCAGGAAGGACAAAACGCAGCCCCTTCCATGATGGAAACGGTCCAATGTAATCAACCTGCCCCAAGGTAGCTGGCTGAGCACCCTGGGGAACGACGCCCTATCAGGGCTCCTTGTTGGCCTCTGTTGCTGGAAGATGGGGCACTCAGCGGTGGCTGTAGCCAGATCGGGCTTGGTGAGTGGCGGTCCATGTTGCTGAGCCCACGCACAGCCTCCATCCCTGCCGCCACGGCTGCTTTGTTCATGAGCCCATCCACAGAACAGGTCATCTTCTCCACCTGCTGATTAAAGTCCTCCTCTTCTGAGGTCACTCTTTGTTGAGCATTTACATGGGAGAAAAGTATCTTCACATTTTTGCTCATTTGGAGAGGTTTTACCTCTTCCCCAAATTTCTTTGTCATCAATTTTCTAATCAAGCTCCTTCCAAGTTCCTATGTAGCCAAACCATTGCCATGAATATAACCCACATCTGGCCATTTCTCCTTCCACACAAAGTGAATGGGCAGTTGCACTGCTTGGAGTTCTGCCCACTGGGAGGATGTCCCAGAGAGGGGCTGGGGTGCTGCCGCTGTCCACCCTCAGGTGGTGTCCGTACATGATGCAGAACCATCTGCAAAGCAGCCAGAGTCTTCTCTTCCTCTGTCAACTGAATGCAGGGCACTCCCCACGAGGCCATAGGTGCAGGCTGGGAGACAGAAGGCAGGGCAGCAGGGGTGAGGACCAGGAGCATCTGGGCCACTTCTTCACGTAACTTGCTTGTGCCTTCAGGGCCTGCTGGGGCCCGGTCCTGTAGTCACCACTTCCATTTCATGACAGTGTTACTGTGCACACCCAACTTTATGGCCTGGAGGTTCAGATCACACCCGGGTCATGATGGGCAGCTTGGGTCGCATAGTAGCTTTGTGGCCCCTGGTCAAGCGTTTAGTTTTTACTAAGGCCCAGTAGCAGGCCAAAAGCTGTCTCTTGAAAGGAGAGTAACCATCTGCAGATGACAGCAGGGCCTTGCTCCAAAATCCTAAAGGCTTGCACTGAGGTTCACCAATGGTGGCCACCAGATAGCGTCCCTATCTGCCGCTGACACTTGGAGCCCCGTTGATCTGCTGGATCATATAGTCCAAGTGGCAGAGCAGCTTGCACAGCAGCCTGGCCCTGCTGCAGAGCCTGCCTTAGCTATGGGCTCCACTCCAAACTAGCAGCTTTTGGGGTCACTTGGTAAACAGGCTGGAGTAACACACCCCAATGAAGAATGTATTGCCTCCAAAATCCAAAGATGCCCACTAGATATCGTGCCTCTTTCTTGGTTGTAGGAAGGGCCAGATGCAACTTCTCCTTGAGAAGCGTTACCTTGACATACCCCATACCACCGAGCTCCTAGACATTTCACTGAGGAAACGGCCCCTGAATTTTAGTTGGATTTATTTCCCACCCTCTGATACGCAAATATGTTTCCAGTAAGTCAAGAGGGGTTGCTACTTCATGCTTACCAGGTCCAGTCAGCATGATGTCATCAATGTATTAGACCCATGTGACATCTTGTGGGAGGGAGAGATCAAGATCCCTGTGCGCTAAAGTGCGATGTGGGGCTGGAGAGCGGATGTGCCCCTAGCAGAGAAGGGGGGCTGCTGGCCTTGTCAGCCGAAAGCAAACTGCTTCTCGTGGGCCTGGGGGACAAGTACGAAGAAAAAGGCATTTGCCAGATCAATAGCTGCGTACAGTACCAGGTACTGGGAAATGTGGTAATTTACTTAAGCAATAAAACCACACCTGGTACAGCTGCTGCAGCTGCAGCCACCACTGAGTTAAGCTTATGATAATCCACTGTCATTCTTCAAGATCGATTTGTCTTCTGCACAGGCCAAATAGAACCGAGTGAGGATGTGTTGGGAATCACCATCTCTGCATCTTTCTTTTATTATTATTATTATTGTTGTTTTCTACATTTAAAAAAAATTTTTTTATTATACTCTAAGTTCTAGGGTGCATGTGCCCAACGTGCAGGTTTGTTACATATGTATACATGTGCCACGTTGGTGTGCCACACCCATTAAACATCTCTGCATCTTTCAAGTCCTCGATGGTGGCACTGATCTCTGCAGTCCCTCCAGGGATGCAATATTGCTTTTGATTTTCTATTTTCCTGGGTAGAGGCGGTTCTAGTGGCTTCCATTTGGCCTTTCCAGCCATAACAGTCCTCACTCCACAGGTCCTGGAACCAGTGTGGGGGTCCTGCCAGCTGCTATGTCTGCTCCAATTACACATCTGGAACCGGGGGTCAGGGCCCCGCCAGCCTCACTTTGAGATGGACCTGAGCGAATACTCCATTGATCACCTGACCTCCATAAGCCCTCACTCTGACTAGAAGGCCAGTGCCGCTTTGAGTCTCCTGGAACCAGTATCAGTTTAGATAAAGCCAGTGTCCAATAGTCAACAAAAGGTCTGTTTCCTTTCCCCCAGTACACAGCTTCTCTGGCCAGGGTGGTTCCCTTCGGGGAAGGCTGGGGGAGATTGACAGTGTCAATTCTTGGTGATGCACTAAGGCCCTTCCTTGAGGGGTCTTGGGCTCCCCTTATTCAAGAGGTTCTGGCTCTGTAAACTAGCTCAAGTCCGGAAACTGATTGTGGGGCTGTGACCAGATTGTCGCTGAGCATTTGTCCTTCACCCTGGAGGGGTCCGTTACATGCCCCAGATTGCTGGGCCCCTGGAATGCTACTGAGGCAGCCCCTGCATTTTTGCAGGGATTGTTTTCTGCCCTTTGACATTGCCGTAACCTCCTAACACTGTCTGGGGAAGATGCTACCCCCTGCTCTCCAGGTCTTTCCTGCACTCTCAGCAATGGGATGGGCTGACTGACGCCCTGTGGGCTGGGAAGGTGACCACAGTCGCTGCAGACCAGACCCCCTCACACAGTGAATGCTGGGCTAAGGAATCCAGGAGAGCCGAGGGGGACACTGAAGGTGTATCGTTGGCCCTGCCAGCCGCAAGTGAACTGCTTCTGATGAATTTTAATAGGGAGAAAGAAGTATTTGCTAAAAATGGCAATCTTAACACTCAGACTTCAACTCATCTTGTTACTAATACCACCAATATCCCATGAGGCTCATAAAACGAGTCTTTCTTCCTGGACACATGACCAAGATTGGGCAAACGTCTCCAACGTGGCTTTGAGCAACAGAAACTAAGAGTCAAAGGCATTTATTACCTGAATGCCCACATTTGCTCTCAACATGGCATAACCTCAGCAGGCCTAACTCTGCAGGACCTTCAGCTATGGTGGAATGTGAGGTCAGTGGCTGAAGGACAGATCCCGTCTACATAATGAGTGAGGCAGAGAGCTACTGCAGGGTTCTGAGCAGAGTCCTAATTTCTATTTTAGAAGAATCATCATGGCTCCCAGATTAGGAATAAAACAAAGGGGCCCGGGGTGGAAACAATGAGTGCAGTTGGGTTACTGCAAAGATCCAGGCCAGAAATCCAGGCACAGTGGCACACGCCTGAGCCCCAGATAATTCCACCTACCGGTCCTACTCTGTGGCCTACTGGTCCAAGTCCAGCCCTGACTGACTTCTGGGCTTGTAATGTCTAAAACCGCTCCCTGCTGATGCTTTGCTGATAAACTAGTCACTTTATCATTACAGAATCATTCACTGAGCATCGACTACGTAACCAGCATTGGGTTGGGTGCCAGAGATCCAAAGCTGACAGACACCAGAACCTGCTCTCCAGGAAACCAGAGGCCGTGGAGACAGCCAGCAGGTGTCTGTCAGTACTGGGAGCCGTGAGAGCAGGGAGAGGGTGCTGGCTGAGGAACCAGGGGTAATGTCCCTGGGGAGGCCCAGGAAAAGGGGAGTTTTGAGGCAAAGGTAAGTCCTGGGAAGGCAGGGGGTGAAGGAAACCCATGGAGCGAGGCAGGGCTCCCATGGAGAGGATGCGCCGGCCGGTCTCCCCTGTGTGGAGCTGAACTCCAGAACCGCTGAGTGAACGGGAACCCAGGCTGCAGGAGAGTCTTCACTTTGGCCCGAGGGTTACTGTGAAAAGTGCTGATGTCCCAGGAGCTCTACCAGGGAGCTTACTTCATTAATCTGACCATGTATCCATTTAAAATACATTCTAGTGTCTACCATATTTAGGCCCTGGATTACCCTGGAATACGTTCAGGATGCCTGTTTTAGAGATTCTGATGATTTAAATATTGGTAAATTTTTTAACTAAATATTTTCTGTTAGGCTTTTAAAAACTAAGAATACTAAGATTTTAGGTATGAAAGCATTCAGCCTTGGTGGTTAAATTTTGGTAAGAATTGGAAAATCATTCAGGGATCCTGACTTAACAGTTATGTGGATCATTTCAGGCATCAGTAAGGAAAAGTTAACACGAAGGAAACGACCTAAGCACACACATTAAGAAATAAGGAGAAAGTGCTAGCAATGAGATGCTTTTCCGCTCTCATGTTTTACTGAGCAATGCAAAGGCAAACTGAAAAACAGGAAATGACATATTACGAAATAGACATATAAAATTTAATCCCTTTGGTTTAAAATACATTTTCAATGATACAATTAAAAATAACACACAAGACAAAATCAATTTCATAAAAAATATAAAACAGTTATATGACCCATATCCCATACCTTATCTTAGAAAACCAGCAATTGAGTTCCCATACGTCATTAGAATACTTTAACCTAAGACTGTTACTACCAGTCCATTTACACGAATGACCTAGCCTAGTTCCCTGAACCTAAAGATACCCGTGACTTTGTTATAAAATTCCATATTTTAGTATTTTTATATATTTAAATGTGTACAAAATGTTCCCCTGCCACAGTAACGTATTTTTATAAATTCATGAATGTTTTCTAGAATTGTTAACATACAAGATAATCAAAGCACGAAGGCTCTGATGTGTGAAAAAACAATCATTTCTCAAAACAGGAAGATGAGAACCCCATTTCGAGTTGTATCACTTGGTACACAATACTTGCAATCTGTGTGCTGTAATTACAGTGTTTCTTCACTCTAAGTGCATCTGACTGATACTAGCATAACAAAAGACGTGATTGCAGTAGTGTTTTTCTTTTACTTCATTTGTTAAACAGTGCAGAAATCCAATTAACAACATTCTCAATAGCAAACAGAATCTCTGTCACTTGAGAAGGTTTTGCTATGCTACAGAATGACTGTGTTTAGAAAAACAGAGAAAAAGGTTTTTAGTGGGTTTCACTAAGCACAGTATTCTATCTGCTTGGTATACATCATCAAAAATAACTTAACCTTTGTCTAGGGCAAGTCTTTAAGGTAGCTCTTACTGCATATCTTCACTATATGTACACAGACACCATATTTATATATTATATATTTATATAAGACATGTATGTACACATTTACAGACCTTCAAAAATATATTGCACTTATATACAATGCAGCTTTATCTGAACTGAATCCATACTGTAACCCATTAACATTCTTCATGAGAAAGGCAGTTGATATGTCCAAGAAAGTCGCAAAGGAAGATTTCAGTAACATGCCCTGTTTAGTAAACATCTGGTGGAGAACGAGAGGTTAAGGGAGAGAGGGCTCACCCCTGTACTCTTCAGGTGCGCTCCCACTAACCTGAGGCAGTGGAGTTGTACTGAATTCAGGCAAGGGCACGAAATCTTAAAGCCAAGCCTATCGCCTTTTCTGACTTCCACTAGCGAGCAGGCCCACGACATTGTAGGCACAAGGCAGATATCCCAATATTTTGATAAATAACGTAGCAGATGTCCTAAAGCTTCCCAGAGACTCTGTTAACTCTTGGAATAAAGTTTTCACTTTAAATCCTGTATATATCAGGACATTCAAACATAATGGTATATGGATTTCTCTTTCATCTGAAAAACGCCAATGCAATAGATTAAATGCTACCACCAAGCCAGATGCAGCCCCGCCTCCAACCTGCAAGGAACCCCTTCCCTTGACATAGAGCTGTGCTGGCGACATGGCTGACTGGGGTTACCTGCACTTGCCAAACCATAAGATCTAGAAACACCTGCACTGAACTCCTGGGGAGCTGTGGCCTGCGGGCCTTTAGATCTCAGTCAGGGTGAGCTTGTACGACCCCCCAGCTTCTTCAATCTGCAGCTGGAAGGTGTCCTCATTGGAGTAATGCTTCACAATGTTGTCGTCCATGTTCACCAGGATCCTGGATGGGGAGGGACAAGACAAGCCAACTTCACTCCCACTCAGTTCTGAAGTCAGACCTAGATTTAACTGTTAGCTCTCCCACTTACTAGTTGCGGTATGTGAGGCAAATTATTTAAATCTCTTTAAGCCTCAACTTCCTCATCTATAAAATGGGGATAATAGTAGTACCCATCTTACAGGATTGTTGAGAGAACTGAGTTAGGAGGAAATCAGGTGATACATTTCTATCACAGCATTTGGAAAATGAAATATACTAGCTTATTTATGATTACTATCTCCAGCATGTATTTAATAGTAGTCACTTGCTAAATGGTACTTGGCTCATACTTGTGATCCCAGCACTTTGGGACACTGAGGCAGGAGAATCACTTGAGCCCAAGAGTTTGAGACCAGCCTGGATAATACAGCAAGATCCCATTTCTACAGAAAAATTTTAAAAACTAGCTGCATGGTGGTATATGCCTGTAGTCCCTGCTACTTGGGAAGATGAGGTGAAAGGACTGCCTGAGCCCAGGAGTTCAAGGATACAGTGAGCTACGATTGCACCACTGGACTCCAGCCTGGGCGACACAGTGAAACCATCTCTAAACGAATAAAGCAAAAGCACATCAATAACACTAACTTACACGATGTGAAGCCACAGCCCCCTGACATATTGCACACTCCAGCAAGTTAACCTCCAAGTTTAAATGAACTACTATTATCAAACAAAAAATAACAAAAAAACAAGAAAACAAACAAAAATAAATTAACTACTACTATTAAGTCCAACTCTTTCCACTAGAACCATCTAGAAATTTCCCATTAGAATTTGTTTTAAAACTTAGCCAAAAAATTCTTATGCTAGCCACTGCTTATCCATGCCAAACATCATAGACAGACAAAAAAGAACTAAAAATACTAATTCCTGGACAAAGCAGCAATATGATATAACTTGGAAATAGGATCCTGGGCAGGAGGGTAGAGCAGGGCATGGGCTGCAGAGGGAGCAGATACCAACCGTGGCTCCTACAAGCCTCTCGAGCTCTGAGCCTCAGCTGACTGTCTATAAACTATGAACAAGCCCTAAGACCAGCTGAGAAAGAAGACGTGAAGACCCAGCACAGCACCGTGGGACGTGCCCAACCCAGTGCGTGGCTCCAACGGGCTTGATGCACGGAGGTGCTGCCCTGGCCATCCTCAGTGGCGCTGGTCACACACCCTGGAGTGTGGAGCCATGGCACTGCTGCCAGGCATGTGGAAGGCAAAGAAGGTGACTTGGAGAAACAATACACAAAGATCTCAAGGCAGATCAATTTTATCTAAGTAATTTCGTATATAATTTAGAAAAGCCACATTCTAGCACCCAGGTTTCTTCGGCTGCTTCTGGACTGGACACAAGGCGCACTGGCACAGGGGGTGTGTCGCTAGCGTGCGTGGTGTGCTACACTGGTGCTGGGGGTGTCAACAGCACTGGGGGGTGCGTCTCACTGGCACTGCGGGGGGGCATCAGCACTTTCCTTGCTCAGCCCTTCAGACAGGACACAGTGGCTGCTTACCCCTTTTTACACTTCTTGAATATTTTCCCAATCTTGTCATGGGGAACATCGTATTTGTCTGAGATCTAAAAGAGGAAAGAAAAATAATTACAAAACCCTGTATCAAGGCTTTAGAAACCAAACAACAAATACATACACATGTGCATAGTCACTCGACTTTGTTTTTCCAAAACGCAGACACAAAGACATGGAGAAGCCCCAGCTCGCGTGCTGGGGGCCTCCCCCTCTCCTCAGCCCGGCTGCCCTCGCTGTAATGAGCTTCTCTGTGTAAACTCCGGCTGTCTTCCTTTCAGGGCATAGAGGCGATTTTTAATATTTGAGAAGAGAATGGGCAAACAGCTGATTCACTCTAGATCAAACATTGCACTTGTCATCCAGACCATCCTCAGGTTGGCATCACCAGCTTAACCTCAAGCCACAGAGCAAAGCTCAAGGTGGTGCTGAGAAACGGAGCCTCAGGTGGCGAACTTGTAGATCCCGCCAACCTTCCAAACACATGTGTTTCAGACCAGACCCTAGCTCCGAGTTCTCACCACACAAACCCTTTTTCTTTTCTGCACCAGTGGATAATACTTTGTATTCTGATATGTAAGACCTGTCATGAGTTCCCTGTGAGCCATGAACAGTTATGCTTGCCCAGTAACTCTGCATCCTCTTCACTCTCCTCTCTCCCTGTAATCAGAGTAGGCACAATTCTTTTTTTTTTTTTTGAGTCGGAGTCTTGCTATGCCAGGCTGGAGCGCAGTGGCAGGATCTCAGCTCACTGCAACTTCCACCTCCCTGGTTCAAGCGATTCTCCTGCCTCAGCCTCCAGAGTAGCTGGGATTACAGCCACCCACCTGGCCAATTTGCATGATTCTTAAGACATGATGAAGGGTCATCAAAAGGCAAGAAAAGAGAAACTCAGGGGACATCCCAGGAGGCAGGAAGTGACAGTGGGAACGGCACTGCCTGTGCTGTGGGCAGGCAGGGATGCACTGAATGACACCCGTGGACTTGGGCCGCATGGCTGAGAGACCGCACAGCAGCTCCCCAAACCCATGCCCCATCTCCCCGCTTTATCGTCTTCATTGCACTTATCAGTACCTGAAAAATGACCTCAACTTCTTTGCTCATTTTGGTGTCTCTGTCTTCCTAACTAGAACATAAACTCCATTCAGCACTGTCACTGACGCTCGTAACTCCAGTGCCCGCCACAGTGCCTGGCATGAAGCGAGCCCTTTATCAAGATGTGTTAAATGAATTCAACATACTACAGTCATCAGAGGGAGCTAGGGGAGATGCTTTTAGCCCAATTATGGACACACTTTGAGCTTAAAGATCTCTAGAGTCTATAGGAGACAGGTTGGTAAATATCTGCACTCAGTGCTGCTAACATGCGTTTTTCCAGGGCACAGCCGGAACAGGAAATTAACATAGCAGCTTTCCACGTTTCCTCTCTTATTGATATCCCCACAGGGAGCATGGGGTCAGTTTATTCCAGCCTCATGCTGAGATCCTTGTAAGATGGACATATGGCCATCACTGGTTACACGTCTACTTTCTCTGCAATAGGCTGTGGTGAGGTATTGATACAAGTTCAGTAATTTCCTAGGATTGGGAGTTTCAAAGGTAGACTGAGGAGCCACTGTTTTTATTATGTATGAAGTTTTTAAGATTGTACCTGATTAAAAATCATTTTTGTTAGCTTCTAAGTGGCTTGCTAAATGGCAATCTCCCTTTAACCACGTATATAAAAATTAAACGATTTCATAGGCCATCACAAATGCATTCACTTCAGTGGAACAGGTATGACTGAGTGACTATGTGAGTTAAGATCCCTGGGTGAGGATAAAATGTGGGACGCGCAATGACTCAAGAAAGGTGTCAAGGATTCCAGAAGGTCTGACAAAGGATTTGCATCATCTGATAAAGTGTTTCAGTGAAATCCTATGTATGTGTCCTTTCATTTTGTACAGGGGATTACAGAGTTGATCCTACTTACAGCTTCCATCAAGCCCTTCAAAGATGGGGTTTTGAGCATCAGGGCATCAAAGACTTCTTCTGACTCCTTTCGAACGTAGAGCAGCACTAATCAATCCCCAACCAGGAATGACGCAGGGAAGAGAGAGAAAAAAGGATACAGTTCACATGAGCAAAAGAGGAAAACAGACCACGGTACCAGCCAAAATAAAAACCACATTCACATCAAGGATGGCGAGCATTAGCCAGTCTCAATTCTGTTTTAAGAACATGGGTTTCAGCTTCTCTGAACTTTGCTGTAAGTCCTAGCTCAAGCTAGATGTCAGTCTGATGGAAGAATTCCCAAGCAAGTGAAACTGGAAAAAACGTGCTTGAACCATTGATGCTTTTGATAGATTCCAAACCCATTTCTGATTTAAAATTCCCACTAAGACACGGAAACCAACACACCTCTCTTTGGTTCTTCTATACGGGCCAGCTTGGTAGAAGGAGGGACAGCAAAGTCATCTTCTGTGCCGTACGGCCCCCTTTTCAAGACAGAGCTGCAGTGATCCAAAATATGCCGTTAGCGATTCAACTTAACCAGCTGCATCAACAAAAGGTGTTTTAGAGCCTATCATGGAACTAGATTTAAAGTGACTTTCATTCTTTATCTAGTCCAGCTTCCTTATTTGTGGATGAAAAATCGGGCTGAAGGAAAATCCTGACTCCGGGGCTCATGGATATTCACAGGCAGACATGGGACCACACTCAGGCTCCCTGCAGCTATCTGCACTCTCATTAGATAAAGTTGCCTTCTCGAAGATGAGGCGCTTTGGTTTTTTTCTTTTTTTTGAGACAGGGCCTCATTCTGTTGCTCAGGCTGCAGTGCAGTGGTGCAATCATGGATCATGGCTCACTGCAGCCTCAACCGCCCAGGCCCAAGCAATCCTTCCACCTCAGCCTCCCAGGTGGCGCACACCACCACGCCCAACTAATTGTTTTAATTTTGTAGAGATGGGTTCTCCCTATGTTGCCCAGGATGTTCTCAAATTCCTGGGCTCAAGCGATCTTCCTACCTTGGCCTCCCAAAGTGCTGGAATTATAGGCGTGAGTCACCGTGCCTGGCTATTAGGTGCTTCTTTTCAGGAAACACTATGGCGGAGGTAGGATCTGAGATAACCTTGTACAGGCAGTGACAAAGGAGATGATGTTTCAAAACACTTAGGAAGTGTGAGCAGGAAAACGTAGGGCCAGCCTGGCTCAAACAGAATGGCCCACAAGAAGCCATATCTAGAAATTTTGGGAAGCCGACTCTACCGTGAATGTCCTGATCCTTCAGTTCTAAGGAATTAAATTTTACATGGCAGGGAAGAGGGAATATTTGAAAGTTCTGTGAGACAGAGTGTGGTCCCCAAAGCGTGGTCAAGACTGGAGGGGACCCCAGGACCTTCAAGCAGAAAAAGCAGGGGAAGGAGAGGCTGGTGCGATCCGGGCACAGGATTCCATACATTTAAAATACGGTGGTGTCATGAAACCAGGGGAAGGAGAGGCTGGTGCGATCCGGGCACAGGGTTCCATGGGTTTAAAATACGGTGGTGTCATGGAAGCCAGAAGGGGAGAACAGACCAAGGAGAGTCTGAGGAGAGAAAAGCTCAGATCGAGCGCCTGACTACCAGGGGCACCTGGCATGGAGGGTCCAGCAGGCGCTGTCATGGTGAGCAAGAGAAGAGGTAAATAACTGAAAGTGAAGGGAGGGAGTGCTGGATTTGCAGCAGAATGGCCACTTCGGGAGCTGGGGCTAAGCCTCCGAGACTCTGCCATCTCCGTTCCTAGCACACAGGAGCCATCTAGTGAAGGTGCCTGCAGGACTCAAGCCTGAAACACTAAGAATCAAAGGGGCAGTGTAGGACTCGCCTTCAGAGAGAGGCACGGTGGGTAACGTGTGGGGCATGAATGTCCCCAGTATGACGGTTTAACCCCTGGGAATGAATGGAACATGAGGGAAGAAGGATGCTGAGGAATGAACTTCCCATGGAAACCTTGGCTCTTTCCAACAGGATGCACCTTTCTGAGGGTAGATAACAGAAAGAGGGAGGCTGAGGCGGGAGGATTGCCTGAGACCAGGATTTCTACAATAATAATAATAATAATAATAACAACAACAACAACAACAACAATAATTAGATGGGTGTGGTGGCATGTGCATGTAGTCCCGCCTACTCGGGAGGCTGAGGCAGGAGGATCACTTGAGCCCAGGAGCTCAAGGCTGCAGTGAGCTGTGATTGCACCCCTGCAATCCTACATAGGCCTCAGAGCAAGACCCTGTCTCTAAAAGTAAAATGAAATAAAAACAAAAAGAATCTTTGCCTTGTTGAAAAAGTCCCAGAGCCATCAAGAAGGTTCTGATGGCCCAAAGAGGGATAGTGTCAGCCCCCTCCACTAGGCAGAGTGTCTGAGTAGGGGGCTGCCCGGCACAGGAAGGCAGAGCCCAATTTTGGGACAACCTGCGCATCAAAGTAAATGACTAATGAATCACAACTTATTGAATAAAACAGGAAACTATGAGTTCATACTGATAACCATAAATGAACGAGTAAACTGAAAGTTGGATGGGGAATGAGATATTTACAAAGCTACAATGCACCTCCCCAGGCAACACTTATTATCAAAGGAGCCACTCTGCAGTGGAGAAGCTGGCAGATACCACCTTAATGAAGTGACCAAAGAACACCATTAGTAACAGATAAACCGACATCAAGCGCCATCTGCTAGGACGCACGGAGAACCCAGTCTCGCCTCTGTGACATCCCTGCCAGGCCTGGAATCTAACTATGAGAAAACAGCAGACACAGGCAAACTGAGAACAGTCTACAAAACAGCTGGTTGTAATCTTCAAAAATATTTGGTCAGAAAAGTTAAGGAGTGTTTAGTTCTAGACTGTAGAAGATTAACAAACATGACAACTAACTACAACATGTGATCCTGAACTGGATCCTTTTTTGTTATAAAGGACATTATTGGTGCAAATGTAGCAATGTGAATACTCTGGTCTTGACTGTGACACAGCAGGATGTCCTTGTTGCTAGGATATTAGGATATATACCCCATGATATTCAGGAGTGATGGGCCATCAGGTTGGCAACTTACCCTCAATGGCTCAGGGAAAAATGAGTTCTTTGTACTCTACTTGCAGTTTTTCTACAAGTTTGATATTTTTTTCATTATTAAAACGAAACAAAACATAAATCTTACCCTTCACTCTCCAATTCTTCGGAGGCAATGGGAAGGACCTAAGACCAAAGAAATAGATTGCTTTTCAAATGTATGCTCAAAATGTTTGACCATAAATGAATTATTCCTAAAATGGAAATAATTTTGAATTTGATCAATCTAATATAAAATCCTTAAACCTTATTTTTCAATAACCAGATTCTTACAGACGTCTTGAACTCCCCTAACTCAGTGGTTGCGCCAAATCTGGTCTAAAGCCAGTTTATGTAAATAGAGTCTTTACTGAAACAAAGCCATGCTCATTTATTCACATGCTGCTTATGGCCACGTGTACACTAGCGCGGCAGAGCTGAGCAGCACAGTGGAGACCGCGGGGTCCCAAAAGCCGAAAACCTTTACTGCCTAGCCCTTCACAAAAGCAGTCTGCGAACCCCTGCTCACCTCCAGCTTCCCATTAGAAACTAAACGTACTGGCCACGGCTCCAAGAACTCTGACAAATCTTTAGTCCTTACGAATCTGTCCACAAAGTGCATGAAAGACTGTCTTTTTGATATTTATTTGCACTCAGCATAAAACCATGCTTCATTCTACTGAAGCTCCTATCTCTTGTAAGCCTTTGCCACAAAACAGGGAGTGACTATTTTTTAAAATTTAGCTTTAAATTTTAAAGCTAAGACATGCCAAGACATGGCCATTGGTAACTACATGTGGCAAGGACGGCTCAGTAACTGGAACCGTAAGAAAAGCCTTCGGATGTTCTTATGTTATGAGAGCTCCTTAACCTAGGTATTCCCCCAAGTTAAATCCAAAAAGATCACAGGCTCAAACTCCAAATTATGTGACTATTCTAGAATCTTTTAAATGAGTTAGGATACGTAGGTATGAAGAATGAACGAATGAATGAATACAAACAGAATAAAGCTGACAGGCTGCACTGCACCTTCCAATCAATGATGCTTACCATTTTTATTGCACGGGCATCATGTCACCCCAGCAGAATATGCCAAAGAGCTGACTAACTAGTCAAACCTCACTCAATTTTGGCTTCTATTTCCCATGAATAATGCCAAAGAATTTCCTTTTGCCATGCCTTCCTTCCTGGTAGCCTCCCCTGGGATCCTGGTTACCTACATGAGTGCCCCGCTGCAAGTTGGCAAAGTGCACGTCAGGAATGAAGAGGACAGGCTGAGTATCGAGATCAATGAAGGGTTTGAAAACCGTGATATCCAGTCGCTTGTGAGAGGGAAGCAGTGGTACTTTAACATCAGAAACTGAAAAAAAAAAATTAACAAAGAGGAAGCCAAGGTCAAAGGATTACATACAGACTGGATGCAGGCCACAGAGCCCTCGCCTCTGTGTAGGACACTCCAAGTGTAGCACTCTGTAAGATACAACAGGGCACGCTGCCTAAGAATCCCAGTTTATGTAAAGGAATTTGCTGTATGTATTTCCACTAAAATCAACTGAATTTTTTTTTTTTTTTTTTTTTTTTGACGGAGTCTTGCTCTGTCGCCCGGGCTGGAGTGCAGTGGCCGGATCTCAGCTCACTGCAAGCTCCGCCTCCCAGGTTTACGCCATTCTCCTGCCTCAGCCTCCTGTGTAGCTGGGACTACAGGCACCCGCCACCTCGCCCAGCTAGTTTTTTGTATTTTTTAGTAGAGACAGGGTTTCACCGTGTTAGCCAGGATGGTCTCGATCTCCTGACCTCGTGATCCGCCCGTCTCAGCCTCCCAAAGTGCTGGGATTACAGGCTTGAGCCACCGCGCCCAGCCAATCAACTGAATGTTTTATCAAATCAAAAGGGAAAAGGTATCTTCAAACACACATAGACACATATCCACAGAAGATTTGTGACAGAGGCGGAGCGTATTTAGTTTTCATTGGAAAGGCTCAAATTATAATTATATAAACATAATTTGGGAGAAATTTCACCTCAGCTGTCCTCATTAAATAATTTACATTCCAACACTCACAGACCCACTGACTTCAGAACATACCAAGAAACTCGACAATAAGGTGAAGTGTAAGCATGTCCATCCAGTTTTTAATTTAGTAAGTTATAGACTTCATCTTCCCCAATAATCTGGCCCTGAAGTACTCAGTAATGAGGTCGCCTAGTTCGTCGGCTGCTCTCTGAAGTGTCACTGGGAGTTTGCACTTTGATACCAGTGGGAGAATCCTGACTGAGGTGTTGCAGGGCAAATGTCTGCTGAGCCAGACAGACCATTCAAAAGAGCGTGCCAGAAGCCCACGTACTACGGATGGAACTCTACAGGCACGAGCAGCCCCTTCTTCATTGTAGAGACAAGGTTTTGTGAATATGAATACTGGTCACAGTTAAAAAAAAAAAGAAAACAAGAAAACAAAGCTTTCCTGGTGAAATGTCCAAACAGCAGCCCTATAGATTCTGCAAATATTAAAATACTATACTTAAGATACAAAATATGATCCTACTTGGAGTCAAGGCATCTTAAATTCTTAAGACCGTTATTATAACTTTAAAAAATCTAGACAAGTCCCAATTTTAACAGTGATTCATGCAGAATGTGTTGTCATTTTTCAAGACTGGAAGCAGGAGTCTGAACGAGAACTGACAGCCAAAAACGCTGAGGTCGGGAAAACCCGGGAATCTACCCTGTGGTCCCCAGGAAAACCCCCCGCTGAGCGGCATCTGCTGCTGATCTGAGGCAGAGGCAGCGCCACACTGCAGACAGGAAGAACAACCACTGTCTTCTGTGTGCAAACTCCAGCCACCATTCAACGGAAAAGGTCTGAAGCTTGCGGGGAACATTTCTACTTACAGGCATTCAACTGGGAGCTGGGGTCAGGACACTTGCCTTTTCTTTTGCTTTGCTTTCGTTCTTCATCCCTGATTTTCCGCTCAGCTCCCTGTAGGTCAAGAGAAGACAAGATATGATTCTGTTTTCTGATCTTTAAAATATTTAACTCTTATCCTGACCAATGGAGTTTAGAAAAAGCCTTTCTCCCTTCTCTGGACAGGAACTCCATTACTCACTATATTCATGAGGCTTACCATAGTAGTTTCTTCTAAAAAGATTAGTCTTAAAAATTATATTTAATTCCATGAAATCACAGGGAACAACATTTATTTGAAAAACAAATAAAGCAAAATTCCGGCCGGGAGCGGTTGCTCACGCCTGTAATCCGAGCACTTTGGGAGGCTGAGGTGGGTGGATCATTTGAGGTCTGGAGTTTGAGGCCAGCCTGGCCAACATGGTGAAACTCCACCTCTACTAAAAATACAAAAATTAGCCAAACGTGGTAGCGGGCACCTGTAGTCCCAGCTACTTGGGAGGCTGAGGCAGGAGAATCGCTTGAACCCCTGAGAGATGGAGGTTGCAGTGAGCCGAGATCACACCACTACACTCCAGCCTGGGTGACAAAGCGAAACTAGTCTCAAAAAAAAAAAAAAAAAAGCAAAATTCCTCCTTATAACGGATGTGGTCATGTTAAATGAAAGCTGAGAAAATCTGAGTATACCACACGCCTGCAAAGACACAAGGGTATCTTCCCTTTGTCCAGTAGGAAAAGGAAATGAAAGAAAAAAACTAGGTTGGCCCTACTGTTGAGTATACTCTCCTATATGGCCAAGGTTATCACTGAAAGCTGTAATTCAGTCCAAGGGCCTGGCATCAACCATGTGGCAGATCTGACCAAGCTGAATTCACAAAGTGAAGATGGAACTAGAAATCTGCATAATCACTTAAAAGAGAAAAAGTGGGCCGGGCACGGGGGCTCACGCTTGTAATCCCAGCACTTTGGGAGGCCGCGGTGGGTAGATCACTTGAGGCCAGGAGTTCAAGACCAGCCTGGCCAACATGGTGAAACCCTGTCTCCACTAAAAATACAAAAAAATCAGCTGGGCGTGGTGGTGCATGCCTGTAATCCCAGCTACTCAGGAGGCTGAGGCACGAGAATCACTTGAACCCGGGAGGAAGAGATTGCAGTGAGCTGGGATCGCACCACTGTACTCCAGTCTGGGTGACAGAGTGAGACTCCCTCAAAGAAAAAAGAGAAAAAGTGTACTCAGAGTCCCAGAAAAAGGACACTCATGTACTCTGTATACTAACCGCGCAAAGACTGATAGTACCACGCAACTGAACCCACAACAATTTTCAAAAGAATCATATTAGTAATAAACACGACCTTATGGCAAGCGATTAAGCATATTTAAAAACATTACATTTAATCATTTTGCTTGACTTACTGGAATTTCTGGATGGTACAGATTTCTTTGCATAGTTATCCAGTTAAGGATGAACTGGTAGCTTATTTTTCTGTTAAATAAATTTGCGGATAGCAGAGAGGCAATAAAAATCCCACTGATCATAGCATTATTATACAATAAAACACTTTAAAAACAGAAAACCACCTTCTGCCTTTTCTAGAAGGTGGTAGCATATTAACATAGTAAATATACAACCTGCTTATAAAAATTGCTATGTAACATTGACGTAACAGTCCCTCCTTGACACAGAAAAACAGGTAAATACCCCAATCTCCTTGCCATTATTGTATGAAGTTGGTCTGGGTCTCCCTGTCCGTTCTAACAGTCTAACCATAACTTCATTCTGATGATAAACACCACCCTCCTCCAAAAGGTGGAGGGTGCAGTCCCGTATTACAAAACAGGACTGTCCCTCCTTATTTACCTGTGTATCTATAAAGAATAAGGCATTTCTGCTTCTACATAACATGGCGTAACACAGATCACATTTACCCTCCACCCTGAAACAACAACAAAAACCAGACAAAATGCATAAAACAAGAATGCGAGGCCCTGACCAGTAGGCAACTAAACAACAGGGAGAACAAGAACGCGTGGCAAGTCCTAAAACCATGCTGGCTGCTGCCTTCAGAGTTCCCAGGCTGTGGCATGGGAGGGGGAGCCCATGTATTCTCAGTCCAGGTGCCCAGGGTTGAGGAGACAGAGCTGGAAGTCCACAGAGATCAAGGCAGCAGGACAAAGTACCAAAGAAGAAAAAGCTCCGAGATCTTTAGGGTGGCCAGGCACCAACAGGTACAGAGGTACCAGGAAGTTGCCCAAGGCTGGGGGTCAGGGTTGGGAACTGACATCTGAAAAGATTAGAGAAACAGTTCCTGAAACTCACACAGAGCCAGAAACAGTACCTGTTCCCACCATATGGGGCGGACTGGAAATCCTTGTAATGAGGATTATTACAAGGAAACAATATAACTGGAAAAACTTGTAATGAGCAGGACACTTGGTAGAATATTCAGGAAAATCCTGCTCAGGAGCACAGAATGATTAGCCTTATATTGAGCACAGCTCCAGATCCGCCTATCAAATCATAGACATAAGATCTGAAAGATCAAATGGTTTCCAAGCAACTTAACCAGATTTCAGGACAAAATTCAAGGAGATTCACAATAAAATAAAAATGTCGAGCACCCAGGAAGGTGAAAATCACCGAACGCCACACAAAGAGTAAACACGATCCAAAAAACCCGAAAAAGGCCTCAGACTCATTCACTGTGCTCAGCCACTGCGCTTTGTATACCTGATGCAAAAGCCAGGGTGAAAGACCAGGACTCTGACGGCAAACACACTTCCAGTTACCCAGCCCCTTCTAAACATCTCCATAAAAGACAAGCTCCCTTAACAGGATGAAAAGAACTGCCCCCTCCCCCGCCGAAAATAGGTCCAACATTTTTGAGTTGGAAAAAGTCAAGATCTTGCTGTCTTAGTTCAATGGACCGTCCACTCACCTGCAGTTGCTCCCCAGTTCCGAGCCAGCACAAACTTTCCCCTCAAGACTCGACGCACCTTCCAGACTCTCCCTGCATCAAATTCAGCTCAGCCCCTGGCTCTGCACTGGGCAAAAGTAAGCCTCTCTTCTCAGATAAAAAGGAGCCACACCAGGGAAAACAGGTCATGCAGAGATCCCTCTGGGCCTTGCACTGTGAAGGCACAGCCCTTTGTGATTCATCCAGTCAGACACAGCTGAAGAAGAGCTTCCGTGCAGGGTTGACTGCCTACACCTCCAGCAGCTGGGCTCAGAGGGGCCTGTGCGCACCTCCTTTACTTATCAGACATGCCCAACAAAATGTACTCATCAATCCTTCTAATCTTTCAGTTAAAAAGTAATTTTAAAAATCTCTCTATAATGTGTCTTTGCAAGGCCAAAACAATAATTAAGCTATTTTAGGCCAGGCACAGTGGCTCACACCTGTAATCCCAGCACTCTGGGAAGCCAAGGTGGGCGGATCACATGAGGCCAGGAGTTCAAGACCAGCCTGGTCAACCTGGCAAAACCCTGTCTCTATTAAAAATACAAAAATTAGCTAGGTGTGGTGGGTGCACATCTGTAATCTCAGCTACTGGAGAGACTGAGGCACAAGAATCGTTTGAACCCGGGAGGCAGAGGCTGCAGTGAGCCGAGATTGCGCCACTGCACTCCAGCATGGGCAACAGAGCCAGACTCTGTCTCAAAAAAAAAAAAAAAAGCTGTTTTACACTTTCGGAAGCCAAGGGGGGAGGACCACTTGAGGCCAAGAGTTCAAGACCAGCCTGGGCAACATGGCGGGAACCCTTCTCCACAAAAAAATTTAAAAATTAGCTGGGTGTGATGGGATGTGCCGTAGTCCCAACCACTTAGGAGACTGAGTTCGGGGGATTGCTTGAGCCCAGGAGGTTGAGGCTACAGTAAGCAGTAACTGCACCACTGAATTCCAGCCTAGATGACAGAGTGAGACCTCATCTCTGATAAAGGCTGGGTGCAGTGGCTCACACCTGTAATCCTAGCACTCTGGGAGGCCGAGGTGGGCAGATTACTTGAGCTCAGGAGTTGGAGACCAGCCTGGGCAATATGGCGGAACCCCATCTCTACTAAAAATACAAAAAACTAGCCGGGCATGGTGGTGTGCACCTGTAATCCCAACTACTGGGGAGGCTGAGGCAGGAGAATTGCTTGAACCCAGGAGGCAGAGGTTGCAGTGAGCTGAGATTGCACCACTGCACTCCAGCCTGGGCGACAGAGCGAGACTGTCTCAAAAATAAAATAAAATAAAATAAATAAATAAATAAATAAATAAATAAATAAATAAATAAATAAAATAATTTTAAATGTTATTCTGTATTAGCAGCTATATTCTCATTTTGACATTAAATATTAAAGAGACCCTGGGTCCTTTTCCGTGAGTGTGTCTCAAACACTTGTTCCAAGCATCCCTGCTGACCTTACCTTGTCACAGAAGACCTTGATCTGGCAGTAGGCCCGATGCACAGGCTTGTTGCTGCGGTTGTTGTAACTATAGGTATCAATTTGAATGTTAAGAGGCAACCCCTTCACTCCCTTCTGGGAAGAGAAGTCTGTGCTTAAGCAGTTCACAGAGATGAAAACCTGCAAAGGGAAGAGAAGGTTCCATAAGCAACAGGCACCAAGTCAAACCTAGCACAGCTCATGAAAATATTAACATCACTGAAATTACTCAAGTCTGTTTTAAATGAGAAGTTCAGTTTCTCATTTTTTAAAAAAGGGTTTTTAAAAAGAGGTGATCAGGGGTTTATTTTAAAACTGCTTTTGGTCATAGAAATAGCAGACCTTAAAGAGGAGGAAGAGTCGGCAGCTTTGAACCTCTGCTCATGTTTCCTTCCAGAATCCCTAATATCAGCTAGGACAGGGGAAGAGGCTGATTAGCTTTCCTGATGCCATTTTCCAAAGTTACCAATAGCATAGCTCCCTCTGCAGTTGTTCTGTAACTCAGTAAAAACTTCCTGGGAATCCACCTATGTTTACGTTGACACCACCTCTTAGGATAACCTGTAGTACTCTATGTCCTCATATTTTAGAACTTATGAAATCGGTGTTCCTCTAATCCACAATTTTTATAAGATTCTAATGAAGTTCTCTCTCAATCTCTGCCCATCCAGACTAAACAGTCCTCATTTCTTTCCAGTTTGTTCTTATTAATCTTTTGGTTAACAAATCACATTGGGCCCAGTCTTCAAGGAATAATTTATAATTTACAATTATTTCCACACTCCTTTCTAGGTACGGAAATATCAGTGCAAGGGTCTTTTATTTAAACATAACTGGATTCTTTACATGTTCAGATTAAACCTAAAACCAAAGTGGTGAAGTTTGTTAATAGACTGAGAACTTAACGATCACTAAACACTCAGGAATGTGTTCCTCGTTCAAGACGTTCCACACAGATGCGGTCAAAACTTCCTAGAATAACCTGGGAAGATGTTATGCTGGTGGGTCTATTTCCATGAGAGAAAAGAAGAATCCAATTCCTTAAGCCACAGTTCTACTATTCAATCATGAAATTACTTCAGAGAAACTGTCTAAACCAGACTTTGAGCTTCTCAACCCACAGTTTCAAAAATCTGCTTTCCTATCAGTGCCCAAGCCACCACTTCCCATGGGAGCAATTTTTTTTTTTTTTTTTAAGACAGTCTGGCTCTGTCGCTCGGGCTGGAGTGTGGTGGTGTGATCCCAGCTCACTGCAATCTCTGCCTTCTGGGCTCAAGCCATGCTCCCACCTCGGCCTCCCAAGTAGCTGGGATCACAGGTGTGTGCCACCATGCCCAGCTAATTTTTTTATTTTTTTTGTAGAGACAGGGTTCCATTATGTTGCCCAGGCTGGTCTTGAACTCCTGAGCTCAAGTGATCCTACCATCTTGGCCTCCCAAAGTGCTGGGATTACAGGCAGGAGCTACTACACCCAGCCCACAAGAACAATATTTAAAGATGACTTCCAAGTGCAGTAGGTTAGTACCAGGTACACTCCAGCTGTTAGCGTGTGCCTGAGCTATGCACTAAGCCGGCGAGAAGCCATCCAGGGGGATCCCCCACCATCGAAACGGAAGACAGAAGATGTCATACCCTTCTCTCCTCTCCTGGGCTCCAAATCAGTTATCTCCCAGCACACTTTCTCAAAAGTTAAAATAAACTGAGTCACATTATGAATATGACACTGGAAGCTGCTACTTAAGAGGAACCCAGTGCACAGCAAATAAACATGTGCCATTTCCCAGCTATTTTTATCATTCTGGATTTTTAAAATGTTTTTGAGCTCCCTTTCAACTAGTTTTAGAATTTATTTCTGATGCATGTGTACCACATAGTGGACATTATTGGAATTACAGTTTTTAAAACTAAGACTGGCCCATTTCAGACCCAAGAGCTGACAGGGGAAGATTCCTTCTAGCCCCTGGGTCAACAACCAAGAATGGGTCCACCAGGAGCAGCACTGGGTGTCACTGGCTGAACCAGGGCAGATGGGGAGAAATTTAAGTTATAATGGGGGTGGGGGACAGCCATAATAACTTTTTTTTTTGAGATGGAGTTTTGCTCTTGTTGCCCAGGCTGGAGTGCAATGGTGCAATCTTGGCTCACCACAATCGTGCAACCTCCGCCTCCTGGGTTCAAGTCCTTCTCCTGCCTCAGCCTCTGAGTAGCTGGGATTACAGGCACTCACCACTACGCCTGGCTAATTTTTGTATTTTTAGTAGAGGGGGGGTTTCACCATTTTGGCCAGGCTGGTCTCAAACTCCTGACTTCAAGTGATCGGCCCGCCTTGGCCTCCCAAAGTGCTGCGATTACAGGCGTGAGTCACCACACCCGGCCCAGCTATAAGAACTTTAAGATGAAAGAGAAGGAAGGGAGGGAGAAGAGGAAAGTCAGGATCATGGTGACAAAGCTGGCTCTCTAGAAGGCATGCAAAATGCAAAAGCTGAGGTCGGGATTTTACCCTCACTCTAGGCTACACACTGTTTCTGAGCAGGAAAAGACCAACACATCCTAAAAAGAGGAAGGACTTGTCCAAGTTAACAGATTTAAAAGTCATTTCTGATCTTGTCCCTTCACAAGCCCTCCACCCCAGCTGGTCTCCTCACCATCCCCGAACACAATCTGCACATCCATTCCCGCCTCACCTCAGTCCTCGTCCGCTTCCTGCTCCAGGCTTCCTGCTCATGACTTCCCAGGCAGGCCTGCCTCCACAGCTCCCCCCATCTGTCTCCATCTGTAAGGCCGGCCCAAGTCCCACCCCACACACGGTCACAAGCACGCAGATGGCAGCACGGGCTGGCCACACAGCAGAGGGACCACACACTGTGCACCTGGCGTCAGGACCTGTGCTGGGCATGTCAAGCACGGTCTCACCGAATCACCCACAGGGAAAGGGACTATCATCCTTCTTGCACAGATGAAGCCCACAACGGTGTTTAAAGTTGTCCCAACGTAGAAAGCGATGCACTGGGGTTCATTGGAGGGCTTTCCCCTTCACACCCCACTACGACTCCCAAACCAACATCTTCCACAAATAGCTGGCTCTGATCTCCTACCTGGGATGGTTTGCCTTTTGATATGTGCATGGTTTATCTCCCTGACTAGACTGTAAATATTTAGCAGGCCGGGTCCGTAATTCTACGCTTTGTCCCTTCTAACACCGAGCACAGTACCTTATCCTGCCTGCTATAATTTTTCTTTCCACTTAAACTTATTTCCAGTAAATAAGTAAATTGCTTTAACTTAAAGAATACCTAGATCTAGATATATAGGCAAAAGTGGCACATACACTACAGAAAATATGTGCTTGGACTTTATATCTTTTATTTATTTATTTATTTATTTTTGAGATTCAGTTTCGCTCTTTTCACCCAGGCTGGAGTGCAGTGGAGCTATCTCAGCTCACCGCAACCTCTGCCTCCTGGGTTCAAGCGATTCTCCTGCCTCAGCCTCCCAGGTAGCTGGGATTACAGGCTTGCACCACCACACCTGGCTAATTTTGTATTTTTAGTAGAGATGGGGTTTCACTATATTGGCCAGGCTGGTCTCGAACTCCTGACCTCATGATCCGCCCACCTCGGCCTCCCAAAGTGCTGAGATTACAGGTGTGAGTAACTGCTGTCAGCCACGTTTTTTTAAAAAACACTTCAAGTACAATCCCTAAATCTACAAATCAGAGGTATGGAGAGTCTGCAGAATGCATTCAGGTTTTTTAAAAAGTCCATGCAAACAACTAAGCAAAGTAACCAAACCACCATATATTTTTCAATTTACAACCAAATGGAAAATCCGAATTTTTTCTGTCATTCTAGGCCATGTGGCTCAATTCCTCGTTCAAAAACAGCTAGCTGCCTGGGAAAGTTCAACTTTACCCTCACGATTCCAGGAAGTCTTCGACCCAAAGTGATACTACCTTTACAAGAGGATTTCACAGTAATCCAACCCAAAACCTAACCTCCCCTTGCTTCTCGGTTTCAAGTTTCTATTCAAAAAAGAAATGAGCAGGGGCCAAATCCCAGGATCAGGGCAAACACAGAGCTTCGGCACCGCTTTGCCCATGCTGGTGTGCATTTGTGATGATCTGTGGTCTCTTACTGATACACATTTCTCTCTTATTTTAAAAAATCAGTTATTTCCGGCTGGGCGCGGTGGCTCAAGCCTGTAATCCCAGCACTTTGGGAGGCCGAGACGGGCGGATCACGAGGTCAGGAGATCGAGACCATCCTGGCTAACACGGTGAAACACCGTCTCTACTAAAAAAATACAAAAAGCTAGCCGGGCGAAGTGGCAGGCGCCTGTAGTCCCAGCTGCTCGGGAGGCTGAGGCAGGAGAATGGCGGGAACCCGGGAGGCGGAGCTTGCAGTGAGCTGAGATCCGGCCACTGCACTCCAGCCTGGGCGACAGAGCGAGACTCCGTCTCAAAAAAAAAAAAAAAAATCAGTTATTTCCAAACTTGGCAGTTTTCTAAATGTATTAAAGAAAGTTTACAATGGTCCTAATTCAGCATTAAAAAAAAATGCTACCTTGCCTAGATAAATACACAAACATCCCAGGAGAAGGTGACAAAGCTGTGAAACGTAAGCACTGCAGGCCACGAACATGAGAGACAGGAACAGTGGGCTGAAGATGCCAGACAGAAGATGGGGCCGGTGGTCGCGATGCCCCTGCTCTTAAGAAAGGATCCAAGGTAAGAACACAGACGATCAAGGGGACATGCTGGTGCAGAGGGGACATGTGTGCTGGGTTTAACCCTCAACCAAAGTCTACAAGCGGAGCCACATTCCCAACAGAAGCAGCTTAGGTCTAAACATCAAAGCATCTGAGCTGGCCCCTAACTAGAGCTGCAACCCAGTGCAAGGGTCCTTACCTGTCAAAGGGCAGGGTGAATTCGTGGATCTCTAGATGACTACCTCTGGACTTCCATGATTATATACTTACATTGACAAAGGATGAATCCTATATCTATACTGTTTTTACTGGTGACAATAGTTTCGTGTAATACACTTATCTATCAACTTTTTATAAGTCGTATTAGTTTAAAAATACCACATAAGTTGCCAGTTAAAGTCATCACAATAACTACTTATGTAAAACTTAAGAAT